TCAGCAGGTAAAAGCAGTCTGCTAAACAGGGATGTTGTCAGAAAAAGACGTAATATCTACTGGTTTAATTTCCTTCAAAATGTAGTTGACTGAGGAGATGGTCCTCAGCACAATGAGAGCAGGTCAAGTTGCAGTCCTTGCATGCTTGAGTTATTGTCCCAAATCTTTGTAAAGGAGATTTGGGGTTTCCCAGTTGCAACTTGGTAGCTCTAGGGAGTAAGACTACAAAAACTACTCTTCAGTAGTTGAAGATTACCTTTAATATTGGTCCAGAATTAATGGCTAAATGTAACTCTTTCAGGCTTCTACCTGAGAAATACTGTATGGCTTGAAAGACTCATCCTGCATCTAGGAGTGAGGTTCTTGCTTGGTAAGGCATAGCGAGGTGGTGTGTGGAGTCCCGCTCATTCTGCAGTTCATGTGATGAATTTTTTTTGTTCAACTGCTGAGTGACTCAGAAATGAACTGAATTTCAATTCTGATTAGAACTGGATAAATACACAGGAAAATCAAACTTACTACAACTGCTAAACTGATTGCTGAAGCCCACCTTTTGGCTTTAGGAATTGTCAGTTATTTGACCATATCTGGTAGTTCTTACCACTTCGCTTTTTTTTATTTCTAGTTTATCTTGCTTTTGGAAGACAAAATACTGCTCAGTTTTCTTGATGTGCAAGGTAAGCTGTTACTTGGTTTGCAGTTCCCATTTTCTTCAGGTAGCTTTTTTGCTTTGCTTTACAAAACATTTTGGAAAAATGGTATTCTGTAGTTCAAGTGTGAATACATTACAGTGTTTTTTATAGCTCTGCAACTTGTGTGTGAAGCTTCCAAGGTACTGAGTTCAGTGCAGCGTCTCTTTTATCAGTCTGACCAAAATTAGACCCTATAGCCTCTGCTTGAATGAAAACTAGAACTTTTCAGTTATTGAATATTTGTCTATTAAATGCAGGTTTTGTTAGAAGTTATCTATATAGAAATACTTTGGTTTTGCCTGATGTTGAATGCTGCAGGGCAACTTAAATCTTGTCTGATTGGTTTGGACACTGCCTGGGACCTTCTCTGCTGAAGATATTGGAGAGCTACTGTACACTTTGTCTCCTGGTGGTGCCTCACCAGCACTTTCTGTACCAGGCTGTATCATACAGCTGCAGCTTCTGACTGCATCCCTGTGGTAAAACTTCATCTTAATGCATGTCCCACGCAAGAACAGGGGAGACGGCAGAAAGAAGCTGGCCGTCTTGCACATGTATATTGCTAAAGCTGTGAAACTTAACTGCAGGATGTTACCAAGTTTGCGTGGCTTCAGGAGAGTCTAGGAAATAGCATGGAAGAAAACGCCATGTAAGATTACTGGATAGGAAAACATCTTTAACATGGGAAGCCTTGAGCTAAAGCTGGGCAAGTAATGAAACTTCACAAGAACATACTTAAGAAGATAGGATCAAGGCATCTTCTTTGGCCGTTGCTGCAGTAAGGGTACTGGACTTAGGAAACAGTTTGACACAGCATAAATTGTTCTTACGTCAGTATATTTGATACTGAACTCTGTGCCACAGCTACCTTAGCCCAAACTATGCCTGTCTCTAAAAACAGGAAACGGTAGTGGAAGGTGATGGTTATTAATTGTAAGTATATAGTAGACTGAGAAATAACTTGATTTTTGTGTACTGTTCAAGTGCCATTTCAAAAATAGTAAAAAATAAGATGAAAGTTGATGCAGTCAATCTGTTCCAGCACGTGTTCAGTTTTTGTCTGTTGCTGTCGACAAAAACCTGGAACCTAGTGCTTAGAAAAAACCCTTCTTTTGCAACCCACAGCTGATGAACATATTAGTTGTGTTACTTATATGAAGGGACAATATTTGCATCTATTCAAACAGCAGTTCATTCAAATACTGATGAATCTAGGGCATGAGTTTCATGTTCCAAATTTGCATAAGTGTCATTCACTTATATTGATTTCTTTCCTGACTTTGCAGATGAACACACCAGCTCTGCAGCAGTGAGCACTTGCAAACTTTTTTGGTGTGCTTGAGGTAAGCTTTGTGTTTCTGTTTTCACAGCAAGGAATCAGACTAATGCGTGCACTGTATGGTATCTGCACCCAGCAGTGTCTCCCTGATGGGGTGTTCAAAAAGCAGTGCTACAGTAGTTCAGCAGCTGGCATCGTTGGTTTTCATGCAGATGTGCTGGTTGAACTTGGTATTTCTGCTGAAACAAGCCGATCGAAAGTTTCTTATGGGGAAGCTTGTCAAGAACTGTTGAACTGTTATGGGGTAAAAGTATAGTTAAATCAATGACTTTGTTCCAAAATATCTCTTCTTAAAGGCGTTTCTGTGATGTCTGGAACACAGTAGAAATCCTCTACTTAAGGGTAAGTATTGAGGAAATAGTTGTTTTTTCCTAGGTGGAGGTAGTTGGATGAGGATCATAGAAGTTCAAGTCTTTAGCTTTTTGGCTGCCTTTTTACAAAGAAGCAATAGTTTATTTTGAAACACAAATCCAAGTGCCAGATGGCAGGTAGTGACGTGTTTCTTTTAAGGTTAACTGGCTAGCCTTCAAAACCAGAAGCTATTCTGCAGATAGTAGGAAGAGTTAATTGTTACGCCTCGTTGTTCAGCAAATAGACACAACTCACTGTGTGTCTGAATTGAAAAACGTGGCTAGAAGAGTAACAGGTTATGCTTTCCTCACTGTACAGTCAGTTGCAGTGGTGACAATGAGACCTGTAACAGGTTTACTTAGTGGGACAATTATGCAAACATGGTTCAAAATGCAAGTACTGTAAAACCTCAAGGATTGGCTTGTCCTGATGTTGTTGAATTCTGCATCCTGCCTAGTAAAGGAAGTAGAATTAGGAGGTAGAGGAAGAATACGTGCAGTGCTGCATTCTTGTAGATGGTTTATTACAGCATATTTGTAAGCTGTCTTAAAATGATCTTCCATATGTATTTCCTTTACATCTCAGTACCAGCTAACTGTTAGGTTAACTCCCTTAGTTGCATCTTCTGTGCCGTAGTCCTCCAGTTTCTTAAATTGCAGCTAGATTTTGTTGGTAGTTGTGTGATAGACTGGGCCATGGCTCTGATTTCAAAAGAAATGCTTTGTTTTGGCATTAGTATTCAAATCGCGTAATGGGACTGCAGTCTACCTGCTTCATATTCAGTATAAAAGTGCCTAAGTCTTAATAAATTGCTGAAATACTGAAGAAACTTGGAACTATTACTCAAATGCGACAATTTACTTCTTTTTAGGAATTCCATATGGTAGTCCAGTCTGAACTAGCACCTTGGTAAGTTAGTGTGAGAGATTGTTTTTTAACTCTTGCTTGCAGCAGGTGTTAGCTCTCTTTCTTTAATTTGGTGAGCTGGTTATATTCCTGTTTTTTTCTTACTGAGAAGATGCAATGTTGCTTTAGAAAACATGAGAGCTTATTTCCCCAAACTTGAGAATGCTGTGAGAAAATTGTTGTGATGATAGGCAAAATGTTCAACTGCTCTGAAGAGAGTGAGTGAGAATTGCCTTTCTGAACAAATCTATTACATGAGTGTCCTTTTCATGTCACTTCGGTCTGGGCATCCGAGTTAACACAGTGTTTTGTGTCAGTGAGCAAAGATCATGACTGACTCTTTTTAAAATAAACAGGAACTTGAGAAGAGCTGTCAAATTAAATAGGATAATAGCCAGACATCACAGTAGCTTTAAGTGTGATTCCAGATAGAGGCTATCAGGAACGCCTGTGGTGGTTAGAACCACTGAAGTCCTAAGTACTGCTCTAGGTTCTGCTGGTTTGTATGCATGTACATGTCGGTTTGTAACCTTATCTTGCTTT